GTTGGTGTGTCAGCTCAGGTCCTCCCTCTTTAAAGATTTCAGCAGGGATCCCGTCTGGTCCACTGGCTTTGTAATTTTTCTGTTGGCTGATGGCATTGCTGACTTCTTCCAAACTGGGCAGTGCTGCAAGCTCATCCCTGGTTTGTTGTTGTGGGATTTGTGAGAGGACCTCTTCGGCCACATTGGAGCTGCGGTTCAGGAGGCTTTGGTAGTGTTCTTTCCAACGTAGTGCAATTGAGTTTTGGTCCTTCAGGAGTTTGGATCCATCTGATGAGCGTAGAGGCTGTATGCCATGGTTTCTTGGTCCGTAGATGACCTTTGTGGCCTTGAAAAATCCCTGAGCATTATGGGTATCTGCCAGGTGTTGGATTTCTTCGGCCTTCTTTGTCCACCAGATGTTCTTGAGTTCTCTTGGACCTTTGGACCTCAGCTTTTGCACTGGCATAGATCTTTTTCTTAGCTGCACAGTTGATGTCTCTCTGCCATGCTTGGAAGGCTTTCCTTTTCTTGTCAATTAGCTGTTGGATCTCGATGTCATTTTCATCAAACCAGTCTTGATGTTTCTTGGCTTGGTATCCAATAGTTTCTTCGCAGGCTTGGATGATGGAGGTCTTCAGTTTGTTCCAATGTTCCTCAACATTTTCGGGGTGTACTGTGGGTAGATGGTCCTTGAGTGCTGTTTGGAGATGGGCTTGTCTGGAGGGCTTCTGAAGGGCTTGGGTGTTCATTTTGCGCCTTGTCTTCCTTCCTTGGAGTCTGCGCTTGGGAAGGATCTTGATAGCCATCGAGGATCGAATTAGCCTGTGGTCAGTCCAGCAGTCGTCAGCACCTGTCATGGCTCTTGTGAGGAGCACGTCACGGCGGTCTCTGGCACGTGTGATTACATAGTCTAAGAGGTGCCAATGCTTTGACCGGGGGTGCTTCCATGATGTCTTGAACTTGTTTTTCTGGCGGAAGAGCGTGTTGGTGATGACAAGGTTGTGCTCCGCACATTTGGTGAGAAGCAGGATGCCATTTGAGTTGCTGTTTCCAACCCCGTCTTTTCCTATGGTCCCTGGCCACAGGTCGAAGTCTCGGCCGACTCTTGCCGTGAAGTCCCCCAGGAGGATGATTTTGTCCTCCTTAGGTATCCCCGATAGGACGGTGTCCAGCTGACAGTAGAGGACGGTGTCCAGCTGACAGTAGACTTTCTCCTTGATGTCTTCGTCAGCATCTAGTGTTGGTGCATAGGCACTTATGATGGTTGCCCGTTGGTTTTTGGCAAGATCGATTCGGAGGGTTGAGAGTCGTTCGTTGATGCCAGTGGGTGCTTCGGACAGATGTTTTATCAGATCATTTCTGATGGCGAAGCCAACTCCGTGCATTCTTTGGTCTTTTTCGGGCAGTCCCTTCCAGAAGAAGGTGTAGCCTCCTTTTTCTTCCTTCAGCTGTCCCTCTCCTGCTCTCCGGGTCTCCTGAAGGGCTGCTATGTCGATGTTGAAGCGTCCCAGCTCCCTTTCAATGATGGCAGTTCTGCGTTCGGGGCGTTCACTGCCACTGTTGTCCATCAGAGTCCGTACGTTCCACGTACCGAAGTTCATTTTTCTTTTTTGGCCGCAGGGTGGTGACCCCACTGGACGCGGCAGTCCAGTCAGGGATAAGTGAGGCAGACTATGTTTAGGGCACCTTTTCTAGCCCCCTCCCCATGTGGGGTGAGCAGAGTGGGTCCTCAAAAGGGCTGCTCAGTCGCGGATACAGCTGCCGAACTACTCAACTGCCTCGGTCCTTGAGGTAGAACGACTGAGTCCGTACCCACCGCCCATGTGCCAGTCTGTGACTAGGGGCTTCCAGATTTCACAGTCCTGCCCCCGTCGCCACTCGCTGATCGCCATGGGACTTTGGTTGGTTTGTTTTTATTTTCTTTGGAAGACGCCTGTGCGTGGTTTTTTTTAATGTGTGGAGGTCAGTGCACAACTGATCAACACACAGACTTCACAGAGTGAGGTTCCACTGGTGATGTAGTTTAACACAATGACCGTGGCTTCTCAGTCTGTTGCAGCCTTCTTCCGCCTTCGCAGCCGTTGTAACATGTGCCATGTTATCCTCCGCCTGCTCCGCCGTTGAGGTCTTTGGGTCTTCGGACTGTGCTTGGTCTGGGACCTCCCCTGCAGCCACTCCTGGGAGTGCACGACTCCAGTTGTTGTGCCTACAGGTTCATCGGAACACGCAAGCCCCCTCACCACGACAAGGTGACAGTCCATCAAGGGGGTGAGATGGTATGGTATACAGCAGATTGACAATGGTAGATGTTTAACAAAACAAGACAGGAGGTGTAATCCCTCCTCCTGTCCATTAGCTAAAGTGCATATATATGTTTTTAAAAGTTTTTTAAAAGAGAGGAGAGAGGGAGCCATTTTTAAATCTTTAGAGAGGAAGTTCCAGAGCTGGGGAGTGATCACAGAGAAGACCCTTTCTTTTGTTCCCACCAGCCACACTTGGGACGGGAGTGGAACCGAGAGAAGGGCCTCCTCTGCAGACTGCAGTGCTCGTGCTGGTTTGCACATGGAGATGCAGTTTTTCAAATAGGTTTTTCAAATGCAGACACAGCATCAAATTGTTTTGAGAGCCCCCACAAGTAGAGGAGTCTCTCTTCTTCAGACCATCAGCCTCCCTGCATAGGCTATGGAAATGGTGTAGAGGTAATGGGACTAGCACACACCTTCCTGGATTTCCTTAATCCACCACAGAGGAGGAGAATAATAATAATAATAATAATAATAATAATAATAATAATAATAATATCCCAAATGTAGACTCTGCAAGGAAACTGATAAAACAATAGATCACATCCTCAGCTGCTGCAAGAAGATCGCGCAGACAGACTACAAGCAAAAGTACAACACCGTTGCTCAGATGATTCATTGGAACTTGTGCCACAAATAATATCTGCCTGCAACAAAGAACTGGTGGGATCACAAGCAGGAAAAAGTTACAGAAAATGAATACATCAAACTCCTCTGGGACTTCAGAATTCAGACAGACAGAGTTTTGGAGCACAACACTCCTGACCTCATGATAATGTTAAAAAACAAAGTATGGATTGTTGATGTTGCAATCCCAGATGACAGCAGGATTGAAGAGAAACAACTGGAAAAGTTGACATGATATGAGGATTTAAAGATCAAACCTCAAAGACTCTGGCACAAGCCAGCAAAAGTGGTCCCAGTGGTGATCGGCACACTGGGTGCAGTGCCTAAAGACCCTGGCCTGCACTTAAACACAATCAGTGCTGACAAGATCACCATCTGCCAGCTGCAGAAGGCCGCCTTACTGGGATCTGTATGCAGTATTCCACGGTACATCACACAGTCCTAGACACTTGGGAAATGTCCAACGTGCGAACCAGTACAACAGCCAGCAGAGTGATCTTGTCTGCTGTGGACTCATCTTGTTGTGTTTTAAATAATGATAACAATCTTTATTTATATCCCACCACCATCTCCGCAAGGGGGACTCAGGGCGGCTAACATGAGGCTAAGCCCAAAGATACAACACAGCAAAATAAAATACAATATGCAAACAACAAATATCACATCACAATAAAATACATACAGTATCAAAATAGAGTAAACAAAGCAAAGTAACATAATATAAAATTGAACACAATGGGTGGGCCAAATGGAACATCTGAATAGGGATTAAATGACTCAAATAAACACACATTGGTGTACTGTGCTAGTCCCATTTTACCTCTTATTAATTTGGTTGCTCATTATGTATGAAGAATCACAGTGAAGAGAAGAGTCTCTTGTACCTGTACAGGTTCACAGTTCAACCTGGAATGCTATTTAATTTTTGGAGTTTTTCCAATCACACAGAGAATCATCAGGCATAGAAGGTCATGGGGGAGAAACCAGTTCTTGATCCACATATATAACAAATGATCCACAAATAATGAATACCTGTTTAGGACTTCAATAACTGATTTGCCTGAGCACATATCCCAGCCCTCAGAGAAAGATTCATGATTGTCACTTTTAAATGTCAGGAAGATGACATGTAAGGAACAGGTGATCCAGCTGTCATGAAGCCTGCTTGACCACTTCGACCACTCTCTCCCAAGGACCAATTCAATACAGCTTTTAATGAATTTTGGGAACAAATAATAGCTGTCTCAAGAAAAAAGCTTTTTAATGGCCTCTCCCGCTTCTTTTCAAAACAGCCCATGGAAAACCTACAACTTCCACAGAACTACACATCAAGACACGTCCTTACCAATGTCTCTTGACACACCGGGGACAGTGACACCAGAGGCACTCCAAGTGGACAGCTTCTTGTCAAAGGAAATCTAGTATAATGCCAAGTCTTTAACTTAGTTTGTATTTTTAAAAATACATTATAACTGTATTCCCAATTTGTTTCTGACACAGTAAATATATATTGACACATAGAGGCTCTTGACTGAGCCTTTCATTATCAAGGGGTTGTTTCACTCATTGGAAATTGTAAACAAACATGGGTAAAAACGTATTGATTAGTAACCCAGAACAAGCCAAACCATTCTTCACTTGCAGAGGTACACATTAAGTAATAATAATAACAAGAAGAAAAACCAGGGCAACCTTTCAGTGAAACTTAATGCAAAATCAAGTGTAGATGCATAATAAAGAGATCCATGTACCTGGCTTTGGTCCACGTGTCACCTAGTGACATCCATAGCTGCCCTTCTTCACTTGTAACGGTATAGCGTAAAAAATCTATGGTATCCTTTGTTAAGAGGGGACTAAGGACTGTACTTGCAAGTTCTGGGCCGCCTGTCGCTTGTACCACCTAGGACAAATAAAAAGATACAAATAACACACACAAACATCTATATCTATATCTACCTATCTATTTAGATAGGAGCCACGGTGGCGCAATAGGTTAAACCCTTGTGCCAGCTGAACTGCTGAGCTGAAGGTCAGTGGTTTGAATCCGTGACATGGGGTGAGCTCCCATCTGTCAGCTCCAGCTTCTCATGTGGGACAGGATGGTAACACATCTGAGCATCCCCTAGACAATGCCTCTGCAGATCACCAATTATCTTACACCAAAAGCAAATTGCAGTTTCTCAGGTTGCTTCAGACATGATAAAAATAATCTATCTAGATATAACCCAATATTACATAAGTGGAGTTATGCTTCCAGCATGCCTCTATACTCTGCCAGTGCCATTTGACTACACATATTTACAATGATCCTCCCTATTTGTCAACCTACACTTGACCAATCCAAGCCTTTAAAGCTGGATGAGCAAGATGTCTGCAATAAAACATTTTTTTTTTGCATCCTGCATTTTTACGATACTCATCCTGTATTTATCACCACTATGTACATAGTACTTAGTTAGATGTGGAATACTGAGATAAATGAACCGAGTGACTCCAATTATGTTTTAATTGAAATCAAGAATATTTCTTACCATGTTTAAAGGAGTAAACAGAAAATGAATCAATTCAGGTGCGCTAGGATTCTGGATGTGTGCTTTTAATTTCGCCTAGAATAGGGGAGAAAAAGAGAGAAAGGGAAATAATGCTTTTTCTGGCAATTAGTAGAAGAGATTGAAGCACTAATCTAGATTGTATTGAAAGGGCTGAACTGAAAATTCAATACCTCATTAGCAGGAAATATACTGCTGGTAGCAGAAAGGCCAGAATAGTACACAATGTCTAAGTCTGAACAATTCCAAAACCATCATTTGGATGACTGACAAGGTACCCTGAGTTTTATTGGTTTTATATGTTAAATGTTTTAATTGTATTTTATGTTGTTGGGGGCATTGAATTGTGCCAACTGTAAACTGCCTTGAGTCGCCTTCAGGCTGAGAAAGGCGGTATATAAATATGGCAAATAAATAAATAAATACTCATTTCCCTTGCATGTAAATTTGGCCTGCATCTCCAAATGGTTCTCACTACACATTGCATAACTTGATAGAAGAGTATGATGAGCAGTAACACCATGTTTTGAAACCCTACTTCATTTCATATTTTCAAAGCATGGTTAGGATGCTAACAGACCACAGTTTGCGTAACTGAGATGTAACGGCAAACTAAGATCCAAAAGTAAAGAAAGGAATTGATGGAGAAAAGAGAGAGCACAAGAGATGAAAGGGGTAAGCAACAAGTTCCTCATCTCAATTACAATTCAAAGAGCTGGCTTTAGCCTATAAAGCACTAAATGGTTCCTGTCTGGCTTACCTATCGGAATGAATATCTCCTTATGAACCATCTAGGACTTTAAGATTGTCTGGGGAGGCCCTGCTCTCAATCCCGCCTTCCTTGCAGATGCGTTTGGCGGGGACGAGAGACAGGGCTTTCTCAGTGGTAGCCCATTGGCTATGGAACACCCTCTCCAGGGATATAAGATCGGCTCCCTCCCTTCTAACATTCCACAAAATGGTTACGACCTGGCTCTTTGAGCAAGCTTTTTCTACTGGAGCATAATTAGATGTAAACAAATATATGGAATGACTGACGATGCAACTGGACAACGATTTTAGTAAGGAGAAACCGAGGATCTTGTTTATACAGATATATTTCCTTTTTATACTACATTTTGAATATTGACTTGTTTTTATAATTGTTTTAACTGTATTTTGATATTTGTTATGGCATCGAATAGTTGCCGACTGTGAACCGCCTTGAGTTGCCTCTGGATGAGAAAGGCAGGATACAAATGTGGTAAATAAATAGATATAAATAAATAAATAAAATACTTTGCCAAAGAATATCAAATGCCAGTTTGGAGCCATAGGAGACAAAAATCAGGCTATTTATAAGGAAACAAGGCTTTGGATTAATGTTATAATTAACTTTACTTTTATTTATTTATTTATTTACCGTATTTATATTCCACCCTTCTCACCCCACAGGGGACTCAGGGTAGATTACAATGCACATATACATGGCAAACATTCAATGCCAATTGGACATACACATATATAGACAGACACATCTTCCCCCACACCCAGACTAAAGGCAGCTTACAACTTAAAACCAATACAACACAGTTTAAACATAAAATGGGACTACAATTTTCCATTTTGTTCATATTACTTACCAGAAGGTTGAACCCATGTTTAAATTTCTGCAAACAGTCCACAAATTCATCTGGAGATGGAGGCTTTGCACGGAGAGTGAGGACACCCTCTAGAGAATAAGACAAAACCACAAAGCAGAATCTCTTTTTAATTTCAATGGTACAAAGGGGAGGACAGTTGGATCTATACATGAAAGAGGAGAATGAAGTGGTAGAAGGAGCCCTACGACTTTAGATATCACTTATGAATGCCTCTGGATGCATGTAAAACATGCATGTGATGGAATAAGGATGGGAGCTAATTCACATCACAGGTCCCCCTTGCAGGTTATACTACTGTATTTACTCAAATCTAATGGTCACTTTTTTTGGCTAAATGACCTCTCCAAACTTAGGATGCACATTAGATTTGTGTCATACAGTAATCTTAGTGTTGAGTCAAAACCAAAGAGGAAGCTGCTTCAGGAGTTGTACCTGGAACTCCAACTTGAGGGATATCATCTCTCATTTAATTGCTTTGGCTCAATGCTGTGCAATCTTGGGATTTGTAGTTTGGTGAGGCATCAGGATTTTTTGACAAAGACGACTCAAAACTATGGCCCCCAGGACTCCATAGCATTGAACCAAGTGGATTCATTCTACAACTTGGATGCATCCCAAGGTTTTCCTTTCCATTTTCTGGAAGCTTTGGTACTCTAACGCTTTTTTATAGAAGGAATCCTAAAAAGGCAGCAACTGAAATGCATAACTTTTTGACCAAGTGACAAAAAGTGTACTTTTTGCTGCTGCTGCGTATTACATTTGCCAGAAAAAACTGTAGACATTGATTGTTTACAGATGTCACATGCAACTTCTGGAACGATTCCATCAGTGGGATGCACGACAATCGTCTCCCAAAGCAGTTGATCTACTCCAAACTCAAGAACAGAAAATGGAATGTTGGTGGGCAGGAAAAGAGATTTAAAGCTGGGCTCAAAGCCAACCTTAAAAACTCTGGCATAGACACTGAGAACTGGGAAGCCCTGGCCCTTGAGAGCTCCAGCTGGAGGTCAGCTGTGACCAGCAGTGCTGTAGAATTTGAAGAGGCACGAATGGAGGGCGAAAGAGAGAAACGTGCCAAGAGGAAGGTGTGTCAAGCCAACCCCGACCGAGACCGCCTTCCACCTGGAAACCAATGCCCTCACTGCGGGAGAACATGCAGATCAATAATAGGGCTCCACAGTCACCTACGGATCCACAAGAATACTGATCTTGGAAGACTATCCTACTCGGACAACGAGGGATCGCCTAACACATAACACTATTTTTGTTTTTGGGGTTTTGGAAATTGAGGTGCGAATTAGACAAAAGTAAATATGAGCTGTTTATCTTTACACATCAAAAATGATGTTACAATTTTCTGCCAGTTTCAGAGCAAAATAAAGCAATTGGGGAGGTGTTAACCATGTTTAAATATCTTCCTGTCCTTTGTACGCATTTTCAAGGTTTTATCCGGCATACACTGCTTATGATGGCTATCTTTGCTTTTAAAGGAGATTGGATTTGGGAAGATTCATCCCAAACACCTTATTCATGCAAACAAAGAGATCCTTACCACCTGGTCCTTTCTTTTTATTTTTCTTAGTTTTCTTTCTTTTTGAAAGCTCTGCAAAGGCTTCTGCTGCTTTTTGAAGTTTGGTAACAAAATATTCAATGTCATCCAAAATATGATTTAGGATTTGCTAGGGAAAAAAGGAAGAGGGAAGAAGGGAGTTCAGAAATGTCAGAAGTTCCACTCCAACAGTGGTACAGTGAGTCACCTCAGCAGAATTAGAAACCATGGATGAGACTGGGAGAAACACTCCTCTCCAGGAAATGAGACATGCTAACATTAATAGGACTGGCATTTCCAAATACTTTGAACCTATATTTTTCTCTGTTTCTCCATTAAATCCACCCACTATGCAAGATTTGAGATGATAAAAATCCTGGAGTTCCTTCTGCTTGTTATCTCCCATTCACATACAATCCTTGTTATAACATCATTCTGTCTGGGCCAATAAGGAAAGGTACATTTTCCTTACTCAGCTTTTCAAGTTGTGAACCATCAATGAAGACTACTAAAACTGGATATGTACATGAAAACCCCACAGTGAAGCCGAAGAAAGTTTTCAATCAGACCCAAAACTTGCATTCCCTGGGATCTGCATACAGATCTCACTTTGTTCTGCAAGTTGAGGGCCTCTAATTCACAGAGTCATTGTAAGCCTCAGTAAACGTGATGGGAGTCCAAAACAAGGGGAACATAGAGGAGCCAGGTTTTCACAAACAAATGTAGAAGGTGTACCCTGAAGTTAGAGAAGTTTGAAAACCATTTGCATTAGGTGAGGCTTAGTTACCTTTTCCTTTCAGGGAAAGAGAAAGAGGGATACAGAAATGCCTTGCAGATGCTAGGTCATGGTGTAACAAATTTCTTATCCATCTACAGACTATGCAGAAATTGTTTTAGCAGTATATACTCTTGCAAAACAGGTGAAATGTGGAAGAAAGAAATAGATGTCTTCCAGCAAGCACTGGAATGAAGCCAGCACGCTCTTGCTAGCCAATCAAAACATTATGACATACATCTACGGAGAGTTAACTAATCTGAGCCTTCCCCTCGCATCAGGCTGGATGATGCCAAAAGCAGCAGCATTGCATCCAACTTAACCGGAAATGACTTTCAATTCTGGTTTTTTGTTTGGGACAGAAAAAAGGCAGATTTTCTACATTGTTCAAGATTGGTGAGATAGTGGAAGCAAGAAAAAATGAGAGAGGAGGTCAGGAGTTGCTGTAAAATAAAGGGGGGAAGCATAACATATGGTTGCACATGGGCTGCACCATTCCTGCCTCTGCAATATATTTTATATGGGTTTTTTTTTATTAAGCAATGTTGTCTAGGGCTTTGTTCCTCACAACAGAGGAGGAAATAGTTCCCATCACACTGCTGGCCAAAAAGATTGATAGCCAGAATCCCTGCTAGCACCAAGAAGGACCACTGAATGGCCCTGAGATTGGTCCTCTTGACAATGGAGATATGGTGACTCCATCAAGTAGGCTGTGTCTCCTTCTCAAGAGACTGATATCCCAATCACACAAAGGGGTTATAGTGTGATAGTTTATAATCTGATGAGGCACTTCGGCTCACTGGTAGAGCATTCTCAATGCTTAGAATCAATTGGATGGAACTATGGCAGTTAAAGGGGAATCATAACACTATAGTTGTCTAAGGTACAGAAACCCTGAGAATCTCCAAAGCACAGGTCCAACTTGCTGTTCTGTGACTGACCAAAGGAAGTAGTCAAAGGAGATTAGTTCTGTAGTCCCCTGCTGGCAAGGAGATGTCACGTGGAAAGAAAAGCAGGGTATCTTTTCAGGCTATTTAACCTATAGCTTAATTCATGTGGTTTCCCATAAAACAGAGCATTGGGTGAATGAATATCCAAATCAGAGTCCCACATTGGCAAGATTCCATCCAATGCAAGATTCCATCCAAAGCAAGAACCAATGCAATTCACACCACACACACATACACACATATATATACAAGTTCACTAAGTGTTACTTATGTTCCAGAGTATTTTTAATTGTTGGAGTACTACATCCCAAATCCCTGGTGCACATACAGACTGGAGCATTCTGTGCATTGTAGTCCTGAGTTCCTCTGTTCCTTTTCCCACTTCAGAAAACCATAATCACAGCTTGGAAAGGTTTTCTGGACTTCAGCTCCCATAATCTTTCAGTGCCTACACTAGCTGGAGGATTCTGGGAACTATAATATAAAAAAGGGGAACTTCCTAAAGTTCTTGCTGGAGATGGTTGCTGCGTAAGCAGAACTGGAGGGGGGGCAGCATTCAGTAACTCATCAGGTTTGAGCAACATAGCAAAGGAACAGAACATACACACAGTACACACAGAGTTTTCTTCCACTTACAACATCTCTGTCAATCTTGGCTGCCATAGTTTCAGCTGTCTCTTCATGCTCATGGAATTGCCTGGGTTTCTCAACTAAGGAAATAAAAACTCGAGGTGAGCCATCCAACAGAGCAGTGACAGAGAACTACTTGTAAGATTTCATTATCATCTCAGAAAATAATAATAGAAAGACAGATTTCTTCACCCACCAAGGGCAATGTGAGCATGTTGAAAAAGAACCATGATGATAAATGGTCCCACTGACCCCATTCCCTTTTCCAAAGAAGACATTTCAGAAGGTGACAGAAACAGACACTCCTGTGTTGTACAGCAACCCTGTCTTCTGTTTATGTGCTTCTCCACCTTTGTACTCTAATGCTCTTGATGATTTTGATTGGTACAATATGCTGAAATATTGCTGCTGATTTAATCTTGATTTTATACTGTGCTTCTCTAGTCAGTTTCCCCCCTGTTATTGCTATATTTTAACAGACTATACACTTCCCAGACAGTTCTGGTTACTGGGCTGTGTAAAAGTTCAGTCTATCAATCATTTCACTGGGTTCAAAGGAAACTTGTTCCAGGAATGTGCCTAAATTATGCAAAACAGAAAAACTGTGATATCAATCATGTGCGGAATTTAGCTTAATACATTTTAATAGCCTTACTGTGGAATATGTAAGCGCCCCGTCTCCATTCTCCCAAGCGGTTGAACAGAGTGCTAAAGATCTTGCTTATTTCATCTCATATTCAAGAATAAAGAATTTCAAAGTTTTCTTTCCATTGAGTGACATGATGACTATTTGTGTGTATTTTTTGCATTTCAGGATGTTGGTTCATTTTTTTCATGTACCCAAAACAATTTGGGGCAGGAAACAATTTTTTCGATACAAAATATAACTTTTCCTTGTAAACATTGTTATGTTGCAAGAATGAAGAATTTAAGAAGTTTCCTTCCCTTTGGATGAGGTGATGAGCATTTGTGTTCAATTCAATGTCTGTGGCAGTAATCAGTATTTTCTTCATAAAATTCACTTTCTCCCCCATAAAACACTGCTGTTTTTTCTGGAAATGCCTTTTTTCTGAAACAATTATTTGTGATCTCTATTTAAAATAAATAGACGAATGAGCCATGAGCCATGATCCTGTGATATGGATGGATGACGACGAATAATGATTTTGATGATGACTGACCACTGTAATTATATGATTGTATTTTGCTATTTTAAAGTTTTAGTGTAATTTAGAATATGATGTTTTAATGACTGTCTGTAATATTGAGGTTGGAAACCGGCCTGAGTCCCTGGAACGGAGGTGAGAAGACCGGTATACAAAACTGCTAAATAAATAAATAAATAAGCTTATTGTGGAATATGTAAGTGTTCTGTCTCTATTCTACCAAGAGGTTTATCACAAATGGTCAGTTTTTCTAACAGCCCATTTTTTCATCAGACTATCAAACTGGCCTTTCGCATCAAGAAGGTGAGACGTTGCAAATAGTTTTAACATCTCTTGACAAGCAAGGTCAGTCGGTCACCTATAGCCCAAGGCTATAGGTCCGACAGGCCCATCATACAGCATTGGCAATCTCTGATTTGCATGGTTAGATCAACATTTCCGCAACACTCACAGTCTCCTTGTTCGGCTGCCCAAGCAGACCACGCTGCTACCCGGCTTCTGACATCCACCTGCGTGACGGTACCTGGGGGGACAGGAGCGGGCGCTCTCGGAGGCGGAGGAATGGTGCTGTCAGCTTTAGAAATCATCCTAAGCAGCAGAAAGAACAAATCAACACTGAAACACTACACAAAAGAAAAGAAACACCTTCAAGTGGTTTATTAAGCAATTGATTGGGTGGGGAACATCCCTGTCTGCTGAAATTTGAGATATATTATCAGGTCTCTCCATGGGGTGTGGTATATGTGGCAACATCAATAAATTATAGATATGCTTCAGAGGAGAAGCCTTTTTAATGAGCCTGAATAAGAAGCACTTGCAAAACAAAGCAACGGCATGTTCATACAATAGAGCTATATTACCCAAATACGCATCACTAAGGGGTTTTTTTTTAAATGATCAATTTATATATTTCCCCATATGGTTTGGAATATGTATACAAAGGGGTGTGCTGTGTGTGTGTGTGTACAAGTTATGCTTTAAATGTGTTTTAAAGTATTTTTCCATAGATTTAATAAAACAGGTATTTCATAATTTATTTAACTCCTGTAATATCAGATTTTATGGAATCTGGTTTAATATTTTTTTTAGTTGCCTTGCATCTCATTATGGAAGAAAGGGAGAGTATAATTCTCTCTCTCTCTCTTTTTCAGAAATATGCCGTGACCTCAAGAGGCGGAACTGAACTCAACCCCTCAGGCTGAAGTTCTCCACCAACATGGGAGCTCTTAAGGATTATTCTGCTCAGTGCCTTTTCCAATTCTCTGCTTTTCTTTCCCAACATTACACAGTTACTAGTCATGTCAGTCTTCATGGGGGTTTGGGTTTTGTTCAGTCTCAGGAGTAGATGTCAGAGAGACAGATGGATTCATCTCCTTCAGAATCGGATGGAAACTACTGGAGTTGTGGTGAAAAAATGAAGCCGTACCTTTGACATAGATTTATTTTAACATGAATTTTCCACTTCCTCAGATTGTAGTCAGTGTAATCCTTGAAAGCTCATGTTAAAATATTCACAAAAGGCAGTGCTAAAATAATAATAATAATAATAATAATAATTTATTTATTTATTTATTTATTTATTTATTTATTTTCCGCCCTGTCGCCCTGGAGGAACTCAGGGCAGATTACAAATATAAAAGGCAAACATTCAGTGCCTGAATACAACAACAATATATCCATACTAACAAAGTATTGTTGAAGGCTTCCATGGCCGGAATCACTGGGTTGTTGTAGGTTTTTTCGGGCTATATGGCAATGGTCTAGAGGCATTCTCTCCTGACGTTTCGCCTGCTTCTATGGCAAGCATCCTCAGACTACCTCTGAGGATGCTTGCCATAGATGCAGGTGAAACATCAGGAGAGATTGCCTCTAGACCATGGCCATATAGCCCGAAAAAACCTACAACAACCCATACTAACAAAATTTAACAACCCAACATATAAACATGAATTATGACTTAACAGCTAAAATTAAATAAAAAATGCAGCCTGTTATAACAGACATATGTCAAAACATCAAACATATTTATTTATTTATTTACTGTATTTCTATACCGCTTTCCCAACATTACGCAGATGTTGCTGGTGCTGGGTGGCTCCCTGTTCAGATGTAGCTGCATCAATTTTCAGGTTCCTTGGGGAAACAGTTTAATCATTGATCAAGATATATTGAGCTGGCGAACAGGGCATGGATATAGATGGCAACTATTAATCAGAGGTATAATGGTGGTATTACCAATTACTACTACTCCTCGTAAGCCAGTGAGCAAAAGTACGTCTTCAGTTGTTTCTTGAAAGTGGAGATGGAGGGGGGCATCTTTAACTCCTTAAGAAGGGAGTTCCAGAAATGGGGGGTGGCCACGGAAAAGGCCCTTTCTCTCGTTCCCACCAGCCATGCTTGGGATGGGGGTGGGACTGAGAGGAGGCCCTCCTCCGATGACCCCGGTGTCTGAGTTGGTCTATATTGGGAGAACCAGTTTGTCAGATAATCTGGAACCGAGCTGTACATGTTTGTCTCAGGGTTTTGTGACATTCCCCCTCCACCTCAAGCTTTTACTTAAAGGTGGAGAATATGTAGCTTTTTTGGTTTCTTTTTTGTTTTTTTCAGGTCTTCCCATAAACCACAGGATTCCCTTCTCCTGTTTCTCTGTAGTAATGTTTTGCTTCTGTTTCCAGTGATTTAATCGAAGGGATATGAGAAAACACTCACAAAATTGAAGCTTAAGGATGTACCTGAGTGTTTCAAGTCTCCTCTTTGGCTTTCCTCCTTTGCTATCACTGATTGCACTGTCAATATCTTCATGGACAAAGTTTGCCTAAATGGAAACAGGAGCAAAAGTTGTTAAAGAGATGCAAAAACTTGTTTTTTAATTGAGGCACATATCCTGAATGATCCATCTCCTTAAACACACAGCTGTGTGAATGCTGTACTAAGAAAAATAAACATCTGTCCCAAGTAAAATTGCCCTACAGTCAAGAACACTGAACTCTGCAGACTAAATAAATTGTACAAATTGCACACAATCCCAGCACGATTGCATCATTTATCCTGATTCTGCTCTCATTGCAAGAAGCTACAGAAAACACGGAAGTTGTGTGCCTCCCCGCCACTCCGTTCTCAGATCATTATAAATTTTACTCAGCCATCCCTGAAATTCACTGAGCAACAACTGGCATGTTGAATGGACCCTAAATTAGAAATGTAGATGAGGTCTTCATCCCTACTCAAAGAGATATTGTAGGAACATTAGATGTCCTAGATCTGATCAAGGTCCAAGCGTTGCAGCGTCCTTAATGGATACCTAGATGCCAGCTAAAAGTCTATAAGCAATGCATGAAGGGAGCAACACTTTTGCACTGTCTTTTCTCACAGCTGGTAATTTGGTCTCCATGGTTCCATACAAGTAGCACAAATGGTAGTTGCTTGTACGGCCCATCCTGTATGGATCTAACATCCTTGTAAAGCTATCTATACCAGTAGTCATGACCACATCTTTATAGCAGTGAATTCTGTAACTTTGTTGTCCACAGTGGGAAAAATTCAGATATAGCTTTGTTACTTTGGAATATGAGTATGCAATGGGATCTTGTATGACCTTAATATTAACCAAGAGAGAAATTGTAACATAAGCTCCCATAAACCTAGTTTGAGCTACTAGACTAAGTCTAAGAAAGCTTATACTATAACTTCTTTCTCTCACCTTCAAAGGTGCTACAAGGTCCATTTGCATAAATGGGGGAAAGTATATTTTGTCTCTTCTCGCCTACTTACATTTGGCTTCAATGCGCTTGAGTTCCTGTACTTGGATACATAATTTTTCAGTTTCTAGAGCAGGCGTTCTCAAACTGTGCTCCGTGGAGCCCTAAGGGCTCCATGGGTGACAGTCAGGGGTTCTGTGACACCATGCTGCTTCCCGTCTCCTCCTCTTTCCTCCTGATAAATGCAGAGAAATTAAAGCTGCCAGAAACAGCAGCAGCATCCTCATGGGGCACAGATCCTTTCTCCCCAGCCTTCCTCACTACCCAGATTCTTCTCCTTGCCACCTCGGCTTTTGCCACCCAGGCTCCTTCCCTGCCTCTCTTGTGGCCCAAACTCTTTTTCTCACCACTCAGACCCTCCCCTGTCCCCTTGGCTTTCTTTGTTTCCAAAACCCTATTTCCCTCCCACCACTCAGGGGGTGCTTCGATTATGGTTTTCCTGCATAACAGAAGGGGGTTGGATAGGATGGCCTCTGGATTTCTGTTATTATCATAATCATCATCTTCATCATCATCCTCAATGGAGGCCCCAGTGGTACAGTGGGTTAAACATGTGCTGGCAGGACAGAAGACTGACAGGTTGCAGGTTCAAATCTGGAGAGGGCACGGATGAGCTCCCTCTGTCAGCTTTAGCTCTGGCTCCCCATGAAGGGACATGAGAGAAGCCTCCCACAAGCATGATAAAACATCAAAACATCTGGGGATCCCCTGGGCAATGTCCTTGCAGATGACCAATTCTCTCACACTAGAAGCAACTTACAGTTTCTCAAGTCACTCCTGACACGAAAAAAAATTCTCATTACAAAGGCTGGATAGTCATCTGTTGGAGGTGCTTTGATTGTGTTTTTCCTCCTGGCAGAAGGGGGTTGGACTGGATAGCCCCGGGGGGTATTCCACTGAAATACTGTTAAGTTTATGTTGGTTAAAATTGTTCTTCATTTTAAATTTTGTATTGGTCTTTCCTTTCACAAATACTCTCCATCCATCTGCCAATGGCCTGGCCCATGCCTGATACACACACACACACTATATATATATTACATTACATTACATTGGGGCTCCACAAGAAACTTTTGCTTCAATAAGGACTCTGTGGCTGAAAAAGTCTGCGATATCTCTGCTCTAGAGAGTGGCTACTAATCCCCATAAACAGTATCAGTATATTATATGATCCTTGTATTCCTGGTCGGATGTCCTTATTTCAATAGGGTTAATATTATTAGTATCCACACAAAGTTCAGGAATGCATCTCCCATGGATAAAGGTGGCCGTAGTGAAAATAGAAAACCATCTGAGCATCTTCCTATGACAGTCATTTTGGGGGATGAAACTTGGCACCTTGACTGTCATGTTTCACTTGCATCTCACAATTCTTATGGGGAAACAAACAGGGCATGAAAGAGTTCCTCAACCTGCATCTGCCACAGTCCTAATTGCCTGTCACATATCCAATTACTCCATTTTTGTTTCTCCTGACAGGGTTTGATTACATGACTACAACACACATGCCAATCACAACTCATATTTGCTTACATGCTAACCATCTCAGGCCAATCATTATCCACGGACGTCAGTAATATTTATGGATGTTAGATTGCAGGAAGCCAAGTTCCGTTTGGAATTTTTGGAACATTAGCAAAAAGGTATGCAGTAGGCTGCAAATGTTCCACTTCCAAGTAAATACAGAACAGCTGCTGTTTAAAAATTGTAGGAAAAGAGCTTGCCAATAGAGGTTAGTGTTCCTTGCACTTCTTTAGAAGCCAAAACTATCACATTCCCATCCAAGTCTTTGCCAGTCAGGCAAGGAATTTGTGGTCAGGAAGCCCTCGAGCTCAGGGTTTATCATTCTGCCCTTTAAAAGCAAGACTTTGAAGTAAGGGTTTGATCATTGGGTCTCACTGATTTCCTCTTCCTAAGAGGCAGTGTCAGTGAGTTTTCAAAGGAACAGCTCTGCATAAGCTTCTAGTCCACCTAAAAAAGTTACTTCTTTAAGTTGTTGTGTGCCTCCAAGTCATTTCCCATTTGTAGCAACCCTAAAGGAAATTTATCACGGAGCTTTCTCAGCAAGATTTGTTCATAGGGGGGTTGCCTTTGCTTTCCTCTGAGGCTGAGAGTATGACTCATCCAAAGTCATCCATGGATTTCTTTGGGCAAGTGCAGCTTGAAATTCTGGTCTTCTGACACTTAAATCCCCAAATCTCATTGACTTCCTTCTTTAGATTACCACTTCCATGATTTTGAATACTGGAAGGATTTTGGGGCATGTGCATTCAGTACATGTGGAAGATATGACCAGGATTGGCCAAAATTCAATTTGAAGTGAACTACACATGAGTGCTCCATGGAACATATCTAACAATTTTCTCCAGGTATACAGAAAGAGACTGGTAGACTTTACTGCAATGTACTGACCACTCCCGAATGTCAAACAATTAGACATTTTGTAGAACATCATTTGAAAACTACTGCTTTAACACTGCTAACCAACATACTGATCCTCTTATGGATTAATACTTATTGATTTATTCAAATATTCCTAACATGCCTAGTATCAGCAGATTTTAAGGTGGTACACAATCAATGAAAAACCTAAAACAATTTAAACAGTTTAAACAATACCTGCAATGCAGTGTTTCTCAACCTTCCTAATGCCGTGACCCCTTAATACAGTTCCTCATGTTATGGTGACACCCAACCATAAAATTATTTTTGTTGCTGCTTCATAAATGTAATTTGGCTACTGTTATGAATTGTAAATATCTGATATGCAGGATGTGCTTTCATTCACTGGACCAAATTTGGCACAAATACCTGATACACCCAAATTTGAATATTGGTGGGTTGAGTAGGATTAATTTTGTCACTTGGGAGTTGTAGTTACTGGGATTTATAGTTAACCTATAATCAAAAAGCATTCTGAACTCCACCAATGATAGAATCAAACTGAACTTGGCGCAGAGAACCCAACAGAATCATAGAATCAAAGAGTTGGAAGAGACCTCATGGGCCATCCAGTCCTACCCCCTGCCAAGAAGCAGGAATATTGTATTCAAATCACCCTTGACAGATGGCCATCCAGCCTCTGTTTAAAAGCTTCCAAAGAAGGAGCCTCCACCACACTCCGGGGCAGAGAGTTCCACTGCTGAACGGCTCTCACAGTCAGGAAGTTCTTCCTCATGTTCAGATGTAATCTCCTCTCTTGTAGTTTGAAGCCATTGTTCCATGTCCTAGTCTCCAAGGAAGCAGAAAACAAGCTTGCTCCCTCCTCCCTGTGGCTTCCTCTCACATATTTATACAAATACTGGATGGATTTGGTGGGCATTGACCTTGATTTTTGGAGTTGTAGTTCACCTACATCCAGAGAGCACTGTGAACCCAAATGATAATGGATCTGGACCAAACTTGACCCTAATACTTAATATGCCAGAATGTGAACACTGGTGGAGTTTGGAGAAAATAGACTTGACATTTGGGAGTTGTAGTTGCTGGGATTTATAGTTTACCTACAATCAAAGAACATTCTGAACCCCACTAATGATAGTACTGAGCCAAACTTCCCACATAGAACCCCCATAACCAACTGAAAATACTGTGTTCTCTGTTGACCTTTGGTGACTCTTCTTACACCCCCTTGTGACTACCCCAGGGGTCCTGACCCCCAGATTGAGAAACACTGATGTAATGGAAACAACTGATAGCAATTCAAAACCAAATAAACACTTCTGCCTGACATAAAAAAATCATATCTGTTATTTTGATTGTTTTAGAAAAGCTACTATTCTAAAGTCCCATGCCCTCTGAAATGGGCATAAGGACACAGGTCAAAGATCCCATCTTACTGCTCTACTACATACACAATCTTTTTCTATAAAATTCTACACACATTGTGGGAAGCAAGCAATGTTATATTAATCCAATTGCATTAGACTGTAGATTGTGCGGAAGTTGCCTGCTTACATTCAGATTACCATCACTTAACATATCGTAACTCTGACATATTCTTGGATTCTATTCCCATTGTCCTGGGAAAACAGATTCTATTAGGCAGTCACATGGGTCAACCAAACGTTTTCCTATTACTATCACTGGAATGGTTCCAGCAACTTCAACTTACAACAGATGGCTCTGTGCAATGTCTTAGAAAGACAACAGAACAACAGAGGTGCAGTTTTTGAGGGGAGATATGTATCTGCTTAGCAAGAATGAAAATATGCATTTCTTATTTATTAAATGCTTGCAATCTCATGAATGCTGACAATTCAAAACAAGTTCTGTCAACATCTCACTATTCAGATACACATTGGTGAATGTGGACAGGCAGTGTCTAATATATTATCCGCTTCTGGATAATATTCACCAGTAAATGCTGGATGTGCTCACCAGCAACAGTTGTGTTCACCGTTCACCGACTTAACTCTGTGTTTCTGGAAACATTGGTAACACTTGTCTGAAACCATCAACAAGGCAGAGGAAAAGGTAAATATCCAACCATGGACAAGACTACAAAATAGGAGTCTTAACAGTTTCAAAGATTTCCTTCTTTTGAATTTTATAGGAACATCTTATTCAGAAGTAAGCAGAATGTCACCTCTTATCTCTCTCAAATTGATTCAGTATGACACAATAACCTCAGCTAACAATCTACAGAGGCAAGGCTGAGGGCAATGGTTCAGCTGAAGCAGTTCTGCACATACAGCGAATGAAAATCCTGACGAAAAATATCAGGTTTTTCATTTGAAGGAGGACCTTTTTTTGAAATAGGAAGTTACTGTAATAGGAAATAACTCTCTGCTTACTTCTTGTTAAAAAGGAAAAATTCTGGGTCTAAAATGGCACAGGGAAAACCCCAAACATGGTGAATATGCCCCAAATTTTTGGGTTGAAAAACTGTGATTTTGGTACAGAGATGATAGAGAGGACTCAACTGCTGTACGCCTTCTTTGCCTTAGAGGGAGGTTGCACAATTAATTCAGTTTGGCACCACTTTAACTGCCATGGCTCAGTGCTATGAAATCCTGGGAGTTATAGTTTGGTGTGGCACCAGCACTCTCTGGCAGGAAAGTCTAATCACCTGGTAAAACTACAATTCCCATGATTCCATGGCATTGAGCTATGGCAGTAGTGTATTAATTTTACAGTGTAGATGTGTCCAACAATGAACTCTCCAGTGCCCTAAGGGATCTGGATAGTTTGAGCATTTCAGAAGAAGCCTTGGAGGGCTACCTGTAGCCCTAAAGACTGAATGCTGTCCACCTCTGTTGGAGGCTATTCCACCTTAAAATGAATTCCCCCAATTGTGCTGGACCATAGCACTAAACATCCTAAGTTAGCATACCCATTGGCCATAAAAATAACAATCAAAGAAGTTAAAATGTCATATCATTTCTGTCTTTCATCTCACCTTAACCTCATCACACTGGAAAAGATGAAGATCCGCTTTGCTCTGGGCTGGCTCTTTGCACACTAAGGCAAGGATGGAGTCATAGTTGCATGAGTTCATCACAGCTTGGCAGTGCTGGATTGTGCTCAGAGGGAAGTTCTCCAGTTCATTCTGGAAGAGGAAAGAGGAGAGGAAAAACCTTTCAAATTAACAGCAAATATCACTAGAGCCCCCTTGGTGGCACAGTGGGTTAAACCACTGAGCTGCTGAACTTGCTGACCAAAAGGTCAGTGGTTCGAATATGGGGAGCAGGATGAGCTTCCACTGTTAGGTCCAGCTTCTGCCAACCCAGCAATTCAAAAACATGCAAGTGTTAGTAGATGAATAGGTACCACTTCAGCGGGAAGGTGATGGCACTCCATGCAGTCATGCTGGCTACAAGACCTTGGAGGTGTCTGCAGACAATGCTGGCTCTTCAGCTTGGAAATGGAGATGAGCACACACCTCAGAGTCAGACACAACTAGACTTAATGTCAGGGGAAACCTTTACCTTTACCTTACTATCACTAAATTAAATCCCCAATGTATTGGTGTTCATGCAGCTCTTCAGTTTATCTGCCATTACCCATGCAGCTGTAAGCAGCTATCAAATATGAACTAACCCACAAAATGCTTTTCCTTCCAGCACTCCAAAGACAATTTCTATCTTCCTGTCAATTTTGAAAAACAAGGCTATCACATGAACAGGTTTGTACCTTTGATTCCAAGTCTACCAGGCTGACGGCTTTGTCATCCACTTGGAGAATCATATCTTGCGTCCACACCTTGCCTTTAGCATCCAGCAGTTTCAGCTTCCTTATGCCATCATCGACTGTGATCATGGCTTCTTTTCGATCCAGAACAAAAGTAGTCAAGTGCTGATTGATGATGGTTTTGTGGCAAAGGAAACAGTTTAAGACAGACAAGATTTTTTAAAAGCAGGCAGAACGTCAACCATTTGATGCAAATACAAAACAAGTCAAGATGAACAGCCAAATATAGGATGGGAAAGCCTACTGTAGCAATAGAAAATATGAAAAGAATCTAGGTTTTTTTTTAGTGGTGCACAAGATGAACCTGTGACCTGTAGTTCCTACAAAAGTGAGTACAACTTTGTACAACATTAACAGAGATGCAAAGTCCAATTCATAGGAGGTAATCATTTTGCACTGTTCTGCATCAGTCAAAGCACATTTGGTGTACTGTGTCTACTTCTGGGAGCCTTTTAAAGAAAGACATTGGCAAATGAGAATTCATCCAAAACAGCTACAAAGCAGATGATGTGTCTAGAAATTAAATCTTATAAGGAACAGTTAAAAGAACTGGGCATCTTTATCTTGGAAGCGAGAGTCTAAAGGGGAATTTGAACAATGGTTTTCAAATACAGTAGAATCTTGCATATCCAACATAAATGGGCTGGCAGAACATTGGATAAGTGAAAACATTGGATAATATGGAGGGATTAAGGAAAAGTATATTAAATGTCAAATTATGTTATGATGTTAAGCACCAAAGCATCATGTTTTTGCAACAAATTGACTGAAAAAGCAGTTCAATAGACGGTAACGTTCTGTAGTAATTACTGTATTTACGAATTTAGCACCAAAATTTTGCAATGTATTGAAACAGCTGTGGATCCAGGTGGGAGGCAGACTGTGTTGGATAATACAGAACGTTGGATGAATGAAGGTTGGATAAGTGAGACTCTACTGCACTGTATATGAATAATTGCCACAAACAGTTAAGTCCTTTGTTGCTCCAGTGTTTCCTCAAAGGAAGGCTATGGCAAGGAGAAAGAAGCAAGCTTGGTCCCACTAACGGAGCAGAAGCAGTTCTTTTTTCACATGATGGGTGGGGAATTCTGGGACTTGCCACCCCAAAAGGATTATTTGCCATGACAACATGTGTAAGAATTTTGTAACAAGCCGTCTGCTTTTTCCTCCTTCCTTTCAAACCCTTCTTCTTTTGTGACATGTTCTCCAGATTGCAAGCCATTCTGTCAGTCTTTTTGGCTGGAGAATGAGGCTGACTTTGAGCACATGCACAAATGTGTGGTGTTTAACCTCCAGTTTGTTCCACATAGCAAAACACCCACAATGTAGTAAATATAATTAAATTAACTTCAAAAATACACATAAATACATAAGATTTCTTACCTCCACATGGTACTGTGACGTCTCAGATATGCTGCTGATACTGTCACGTGCATAATTCTTTCTTTGCTCTATTTTTTAAAAAAGGATTAAGAGATACCAAATTACTTTCACATTCCAGATTTCCTTTTGTACATTTTGTACAGGACTTATTGACATTGCCCTTTACCCTGCACTTCCCAGCCTTCAAGTATTTCTCCATCTGCTTTGTTAGTATACACACAATGTGTATTAGAATGAACGTGAGGGGAAGCAAAAACAAAACACAGCAATTTTGAGATGCGCTAACATTTAACACAACTAGAATTCATTTCAGCAATACACAATGACTCCAAATATCTTCATCTCTTTCTCTTTGTGTCTCTCTAGATCTGTCTGTCAAAAGAAACAGAACAGAGCAATTATAGCTCAATTATCCAAGCCAGGATTTGTAGGATCTCCTGATCTTGAACTGTCATGGTATCAAACTCTCATCACATACTGACATACTTTTTGGAAAGTAAGTCTTTACTGAGTGGAAAGGTAGAAATGCTGTATGTTTAGACCACAAGTGTTAGAAAGCTCCAGCTGGCACAGGCTTTGCTGGGTAAGGGATTTTGGGAGCTGTGGTCCTAAACTTAATTTGTTTCAAGATTTTAGTCTAGACTATTTTCCCCTTTTGTCATAATACCCCTAGACCTGGAAAGATTTTCTTTGGACGACACTTGGAGCTTCATGAGAGAGGCAGAATGGAGGGACAGACCATGGAAAGGATATCTAAGATGTATGGAACTCTATTTCAGAAACAGAGGTTGAGTCAGTTTTGAGCATCAGAAAAACCTGGAATCTGAAGAACCAGACTAGATCAGCAATCTCAAGGAGTACTTGCTTACAGAAGAAGGAGCAAAAGACCAACTTGGTGCTTAGACAGAATCCTAGAGCTGGCAGGGACCTTAACGTTCATCTAGTCCAAACCTCTATGGATTCAGGAAATCCTTAGCTAAGGCCTCCCTGACAGATGGACATTCAACCTCTGTTTAAAAACACAGTAGGACTTCTACCTGAATGCCTGCCATGACCTCCAGCTGAGCCCCAGGTTGGGCCCTGGGAGTTCAGGCTTGGCTATGACAAGCCACATAGCTCATTTTCCATCTGGAGGTTTGATGGAACAATGCCTGTGTATCAGCTCTTGACCCTAATTACATTCTCCCTCTGCAACTTACCCCTTCCTGTCTTAGACCGCCTCTGAGCTCTGGAATTTCTCTTGCTTATGTATGTACACTACATGTAGCTCCTTCCAGTGTAGACACTTAGACTGCTATGGTCTTGCCACCAAAGCCAATCCAACCTTGCCCATATCTTCCTCTGTGTTGAATGACTAATCTTATTCTTTTCACACACAGTGTAAGTATGTTCAATACAAGGTAGTTGAAAATACAATTATAAACAACTATGATTCTACAGAATCATAGAATCACCAAGTTGGAAGGGACTACTAAGGGCCATTCAGTCCAATCCACTCTATCATGAAGGAATACACAATCCAAGCAATCTTGAAAGATGCCCATTCAGACTCTACTGAAAAACCTCCAGAGAAGAAGACTATCATACTCTACACTCCGAGGTAACTGTTGGTCAGCTCATACTCTCAGGACATTCTTCTACTGTTTTTCCATCTTTGAATCCATTGCTCCGTGTCCTAGTCTCTGGAGTTTCAATCCTACCCAATGGACTTTCTGACAGTGGATACTGGGGAGTTGGAAAATGCTATCCAAAGAGTAATTTTTCCAAGCCCTGAACAGAACACATTATAACTGTCCTACAATCTGTTACAGATTGTTAAAAACTGGTGTCACTCATACATGAAATGACAGACTGTCTACCATATGGTACTTTAATGTTGTTCATATTTTTACTCTTCTTCTATTGGGCTCCAGATGACACACAGAAGTGTGGCTCCCCTTACCTTACTTTGATAATGACCTCCATAATTTTGTTGTTATTTGCCACTAATGTTAATTTTGAATTAGGGCCACCTTATGAATGAGAAACCTCTAAAAGCCCATTCTTTTCTGCCTTTGTCCTGCAAGCTCAGGGATGTGGCTTCCTTAATTGAATCAATCTTTCCCCCATCTTCTACTTTACCAAGCAACTCACATCATCTCATGATAAACTTAGGTTATAGAAGTGAGAGAAAAGTAAAACAGGGCACTATGCCCCTCCCCACTGAAGAAGTTAACCAACAGTTATTAATTGCTGTTAAGTCAACTTCAACATATGATGACCCCATGAATGAGAGGACTCCACATCACCCAATCATCAACAGCCCTCCTCAGGTCTTCCAGACTCAAGGCTGTGGTTTCCATGGTGGGGTCTATTGACCTGGAATTTCGTCTTTCTCATTTCCTCATGTGTTCTGCCCTACCAAGTATTATTGTCTTTTCTAGATAGCCATGTCATCTTATGACATATCCAAAATGCAACAGTTTCAGGGCCACATTAAACTGAAGTCCAAATTATGGGCTACAGGAGGGGGGGGGGGGATTTGCTGGCCAGTGTGGTGAATCCTTGAGGCAGCGGGGAAAGCTGTCGCCCCATGCCCCACATCACCTCTTTCCCCATCATACAGAGGAAAGTGTCACCACCTGGCTTCCCCCTGCACTGGTCCCGTTCTTAGTAATGAGAATATGGGAAGTCTCCCATGTTCTCTGAGCTCCATCACAGGATGCTTCCAGGATGGAGACCTGCCAGAAGTAGCCCTGCATCATGTGAAAGGCTCTGCAGATCTCTGTCCTGGCTCCATCCTAAAGCTCTTCACCAGCACCACAGATCTAATGAGTTGTTTTTCTTCACTGTCTGGCTTTCACAGCCATATATTAAAATGGGAGATATGACATAAGATGACTATCCATTACTCTGTGGAGAGAACAGAGATCTGTTAAACCAATGTATAATGTTCTTCTTCCAAATTATTAAATGCAGCTTACATATGGTTCCCATGTTTTTGTCTGTCAAGATGCATTACCACTTTATACTTCAGCAGTCCAGCTGCATCATGTTCCTTCTTTGGGTAGTTTACTATATAACAGCCCTAAGCTGCTTTCAAAACAAAGAAACAACTCAGCTAATACTGTCCTAGTCCTTTGATTAAAAAAACCCCAAAACATTAAATTCCTTAAAGTACAAGACAATGAAGCCATCTTCCCCCAAACATGTATTCAACTTTGTGACTCTTTATACACTGGAAACAGGGCAAATAAACACCACTCCAAAAGAAACACACAACCTGGGAAGAAATCCAAAACTAAACTGTCCTAAAATAGGCTGCACCAATCATCTCCCCACAAAAAAACCCTGATCTTTCAAGTAGCTCATAATGCTGCAAATGCAAAAAGTCTTAGTTAAGATATCTTCTTTTTCTTTCTAACCAAGGGAAAAATATACATTCAGTCTTCCATATTCACTGTGGTTAGGGGCACAGGACTCATGAGAGTGAAAAATTGTAAATATTTTTTTTTTAAAAAAATGAGACAACAGTTCTCTAGGAAATTCTAGGTCTTCCAGCATGACTTTGTAGTCAACATCTGCTGGAAGTTGAATGTAGAACGAACTTGATTCCTAGAGAAGGGTTTTTTCTAGAAGCTGCTAGATCTTCCAGAATGACTGGAGGATGTTGGCCATAGAGTCACACTGGAGGTCCTAGAGATTCCTAGAGATAACAGTTTTGATCAAATCCATGCATAAAAGGCAAAACCACAAATGTGGCAGGATGACAGAATATGTATGACAGAAGAGAAATCTTCTCCTTGGCAAAACAGAACATTCTTTTCACTATACCAGGTTGTATACCCCATTCCTTTGTCCCTCCTATGGTGCAAAAGGGTTGGTGGAGACAGGAGATAAAGCCATTTTGGTGGTTGGACCAACATTTTTGTGTCAAGAGTGTTTCATTGTGAACTAGCACTAATAGGCAGCATGGATGGTTCTATAGATAGTGAAACATACTTGAGATTGTATTGTCGAAGGCTTTCATGGCTGGAATCACTAGGTTCTTGTGGTTTTTTTTCGGGCTATAGGCCATGTTCTAGAGGCATTTCTCCTGACGTTTCGCCTGCATCTATGGCAAGCATCCTCAGAGGTTGTGAGGTCTGTTGGGAGTAGGAAAAATGGGTTTATATATCTGTGGAATGGCTGGGGTGGGGCAAGGAGCTCTTCCCTGCTGCAGTTAGGTGTGAATGTTTAGCTGATCACCTTCATTAGCATTTGAAGGCCTGCCTGAGCCTGGGAAAATCTGTTGCTGGGAGGTGTTAATCTGTGCCTGGTTTTTTCCTCTCTGTTGTTTAGCTGTTATAATTTTAGAGTTTTTTAATACTGGTAGCCAGATTTTGTTCATTTTCATGGTCTCTTCCTTTCTGTTGAAATTGTCCACATGCTTGTGGATTTCAATGGCTTCTCTGTGTAGTCTGACATGGTGGTTGTTGGAGTGGTCCAGCATTTCTGTGTTCTCAAATAATATGCTGTGTCCAGGCTGGTTCCTCAGGCGCTCTCTCAAGTCAAAAAAGAAGCACCATTAAAGCCTTGGCAGACCGTGCAAAAAGAATCTGCGAACCCCACCTCCTCCAAGATGAACTGAACCACCTCAACTGGGCTCTCCAGGCCAATGGATACTCCACCTCAGACATCAGAAGAGCTGCAAGACCAAGAACAAGCCACGAGAGTAAAGATGAAGATCCACCCAGAGGAAAAGTGTTCCTGCCATACATCAAGGGGACCACTGATCGCATAGGGAAGCTGATGAGGAAACACAACATACAAACAATCTACAAACCCACCAAGAAAATCCAACAAATGCTACGTTCAGCAAAGGACAAGAGGGATCCTCTCACCTCTGCAGGAGTCTACCGTATACCATGCAGCTGTGGACAAGTCTACATAGGGACCACCAAACGCAGCATTGCCCAAACACGAATCAAGGAACATGAAAGGCACTGCAGACTACTTCAACCAGAGAAGTCAGCCATAGCAGAGCACCTGATGAACCAGCCTGGACACAGCATATTATTTGAGAACACAGAAATGCTGGACCACACCAACAACCACCATGTCAGACTACACAGAGAAGCCATTGAAATCCACAAGCATGTGGACAATTTCAACAGAAAGGAAGAGACCATGAAAATGAACAAAATTTGGCTACCAGTATTAAAAAACTCTAAAATTATAACAGCTAAACAACAGAGAGGAAAAAACCAGGCACAGATTAACACCTCCCAGCAACAGATTTTCCCAGACTCAGGCAGGCCTTCAAATGCTAATGAAGGTGATCAGCTAAACATTCACACCTAACTGCAGCAGGGAAGAGCTCCTTGCCCCACCCCAGCCATTCCACAGATATATAAACCCATTTTTCCTACTTCCAACAGACCTTCTCAACCTCTGAGGATGCTTGCCATAGATGCAGGCGAAACGTCAGGAGAAATGCCTCTAGAACATGGCTCTATAGCCCGAAAAAACCCACAAGAACCTACTTGAGATTCACTAGTGACCACAGTAGAAGAATGTTAAACTCTACTGAAGTAGTTGAGGAGACAATAAGGTGATCATATACAGGGGCGGCTCAAGCCATTATGCAAAGTAAGAATTTGCAGTATAGTTGATTTTGCCCAGGGATGCTATTGGGGGGAAATAGACCTTGACATATGTGAGTTGTAGTTACTGGGATGTATAGTTCACCTACAATCAAAGAGCATTCTGAACTCCACCAATAATGGAAGTGAACCAAATATGGCACACAGAACTCCCACGACGAACAGAAAATATATTTCAGTGATTGGTTGGGGGGGGGGGGGGCAAATACTGTTTGCTTACCGTTGAAAATTGCCTAGGGCCGCCTCTGATCATATATACTATTTTTTTTTAAATCAGTTCCAAAATCAGGAGATCTTACTATTTTGACTAAATTTCCAGAAGCTCTACTACCATGCTGGAGATGTTACTATTTTAGATGACATCACCAGAAGCTCCCATTCTGCATAAAGGATTCTTCTGGGAGTTGTAGTGCACAATACTAACTTTTCTAAGCTCTGGAAAGCAATCCCTGGTCAGACAATATACAATCAGTATAGCGTAAGGGAGAACAGAGATACTGATACTGTACTTCATTATCAGATAGCAGGCACATAAGTCACCTAACCATAATCTTATCTGTTAGAGGGCAGTTGTACAGTAAGATCCCCCCATATCTGCAGGGGTTACATTCTCAGTCAGGCCACAGTTATCTGAAGGTATGAATACAATGAATGCAAGCCCATGGCCTGCATCAATAGGAGCATAGTGTCTAGATCTAGGGAAGTAATGCTACCCCTCTATTCTGCTTTGGTTAGACCACACCTGGAATATTGTGTCCAATTCGGGGCACCACAATTCAAGAGAGATATTGACAAGCTGGAATGTGTCCAGAGGAGGGCGACTAAAATGATCAAGGGTCTGGAGAACAAGCCCTATGAGGAGCGGCTTAAGGAGCTGGGCATGTTTAGCCTGAAGAAGAGAAGGCTGAGAGGAGATATGATAGCCATGTATAAATAAATATGTGAGAGGAAGCCACAGGGAGGAGGGAGCAAGCTTGTTTACTGCTTCCATGGAGATTAGGACAAGGAACAATGGCTTCAAACTACAAGAAAGGAGATTCCATCTGAACATTAGGAAGAACTTCCTGACTGTGAGAGCCATTCAGCAGTGGAACTCTCTGCCCCTGGAGTGTGGTGGAGGCTCCTTCTTTGGAAGCTTTTAAACAGAGGCTGGATGGCCATCTGTCAGGGGTGATTTGAATGCAATATTCCTGCTTCTTGGCAGGGGGTTGGACTGGATGGCCCATGAGGTCTCTTCCAACTCTTTGATTCGATGATTCTATGATTCATAGGCTTTCAGTATCTTACTTGCTAAGTTCTCCAATGCAACCCTATAGTAATTTCCAGGGGAAGTTGGTTAACAGCTACAGAATACCAAACACAATCTGGGTATGTTAAAATTAGAATGTCAAGGGTAAGGAATAAAAATAATTCTCATATGAACCTTTTCATTTTTCTGTACAGAACAGTAGAGGATTAATCAGGGCTGACTCTGCTAAATTGGGACAGTTGGGGGATATTGGAACCGTGCATTTCCCAAGAGGTCACCCCGATCTCACTTCACACACTGCAAAATTCAAAACTGTACCTCCAAGAAAAGCTACAATCACTGAACAGAAAACAGCAGTTTTGTAGCTCTCCCCTCCTCCAGACACATCTTGTGGTATAAAAGACCACTGGGCTATGTGTTGCAGTGGTGATTTATTTAAGGCATTTATATACAGCCCTTGTGTTGTTCACTGTGCCAAAGAAGGAGAGATAATATGAGATTTGCCATGATTCTCGTTCACTTGAGAGCCTTTTATCAGCGAAGAGGAGAAATTCTCCAGGATAATGGATTCCAGCTCTAAGCACCCAATTTTTTATCTTCATCTGGGAATTACAGACTGTAAAGAAGGTTTTAAAAACCCGAACTTGGAGGTTCAGAAATACTTTTATTGTGATTAGAAATAAATGGTTTATAAAATGGGAAACAAATGCCCATTATTCTTACAGGTTGAGGAAGGAATAGGGCGTGGGGGGGGGGCATGATTCTTTCATGACGCCAGACAGAGGAGGAGAATTTTGTGCATTAAAAAGACATCGAAATTCAAGATAAAAATTCTGGTTGTTCATAAGGCAATCACAATGGAGGGACAGATTTGAAAAATCCCCCTCCCTCCTTCCTCTGCTCTGATGCTAATTAGTTCATTATTCTGAAGAACAGCAAGAACTCTTTGATCACTTCAAAAAGTTGACGATATTTTTGCCTTTGCAGTGTTTTCTTCTTCTATGCATATACATATATGTATATATGCATTTTAAACATGCAAAAACCAACACACACACAAGCACACACACACAGCAGGTCATTCTTTTAATCCTGTGCTACCTTTCTTGTTTTTTTGCTTGGATGACGATCGGAAGAAATAAAATCCATCTGCTCCTGACAAAATACGGGAGTTACAAAATGAGTAAAAGAGCAAAGCAAAAACCTAGATCAATCTGACACCTTTTAATTATTTCCATTTGGGAAAGTTGTAGGGCATGAAGCCAAGCCCATGGGCTTTCAATGAAAAGTTGGATGTCATCAGGAGGAGAGAAAGAAAGGAAAAGCAATGCACACAGAGGCTTTGTAAAAGGGCAATTCACACACTGGAGCCCCCGGCGGAGTTAAACCACTGAACTGCTGAACTTGCTGACCAAAAGGTTGCCAATTCAAATCTGGGTAATTGGGTGAGCTCCTGCTGTTAGCCCCAGCCTCTGCCAACCTAGCAGTTCGAAAACATGCAAATGTGATTAGATCAATAGGTACTGCGTTTACGGGAAGATAACGACGCTCCATGCAGTCATGCTGGCCACATGACCTTGGAGGTGCCTATGGACAATGCCAGCTCTTCGGATTAGAAATGGAGATGAGCATCAACCCCCAGAGATGGACACGACTGGACTTAATGTCAGGGGAAAACCTTTACCTTTACTAAATTCACACATTGAACAGATCTGAACCTCGGTTTATCAAAATGTGCCCTCATCAAGAAATGGGTGGTAACCTTGGGCAAATGTACCAGATTTGTTTATTTTATTTCTGCGTTGAAGGATCCCTACAGTGATTTAAATGAAAAGCAAAAAATTATTATATTAGGGGCTACTCTCAATAACTGGCATTGCTCTGACAAAAAATATCCAATGAAATAATGTTCTCATTATTATTTTATGTCTTTATTAAAGTGGTTTAAAATGGCCCTTCATCCCTACAGTCACCATTGAAATTTAGCTGTAATTACAACCATTTCAGTTGGAATGTCTGAAGCAAGTATATAATGAAATGAATCAGTGATGTGTAGTGGTTTGAATCTCCACTCTGCCATGGAAACCAACTGGGTGGCCTCAGGGAAATCACACCCTCTCAGCCTTAGAAGAAATAAGTCCAAGCAAAAAAACTCTATGGTGTTAACTCTTGAGTCCCAAAAAGTTGAAGTTATCTTGAAGGACATTGCAGCAACACAAAATATTGTGAAACAGAGATACTACCTTCCAATTAATGGTCCATTTCTAGTTTTACTGAATGCCTCAACTGACAGATGCATCAAAGAAAACAACTGTTCATGGAACATGGGTTTATCAGAAGCTTTTATAAAAGAAAATATTGTAAGTTCTGGGCTTTTTGCAGCTTTAAATCACAACTGTGAAATGGGGTGACCCTGTAGTTGCCAGCTGGGAGAAGAAGAAGAAGACATGCTGGCTTCATTCTGTGACAAGGGTCAGAAAGAAAATGTTGTACCAGGTGGGTCTTTGGTCCAGTCCAGAAGTGCTTCTCTTCCATTTCTAATGTAGTGGAGATTTATACTCAATTAATTCCAGAAAGCAGGGCAGGATCAAAGGCAACCTGTTGGTTACACCTGACAGATCCCATACATATTCAAGCGTCACCACTGTGAAGACTGTGAGACAAAGATTCAGCAATTATGTTTGCCCTCTGCCACTGTTTAGCAACAGTGATACTACTGCTAAACAGTGGCAGAGTGCAAACATAATTGCTGAATCTTTGTCTCAGTGCAGTGTTATACATTAATTTAGGATGCAATGAAGGCCATTCTTTACACAATTACTCTCTATTTAATAAGCCTTCTTTCTTGCTTGCCTTTTACATTAATAACCTTTACATGACAAAGGTTATTAACATGAAAAGCTAGCAAGAAAGGAAGAGTTTGGAAATGGGGTCTTGTTTGTTTTTAAGCAGGAAAGATAATGTATTTGATATGCTTAATTTAGGGACTTGAGACCTGTCTGCTCTAGCGTAGGAGTTCATAGCTAGCAGACCAAATCCAGTCACTTGAAAGATAAAGTTGACTTTGTTATTGAGGGCATCAGTGTCAGTAGGTCATTTGAGTAGTCCAGACAATGGGAAAGCTTGGGGTTTTTTTGTGGGGGGGGGGGTATTGCTGCTGTTATGTGCCATTGAGACTTTTCCGACTTACAAGTTTTGGAAAGGAGAAGTTATGACATGAGCAAGATTTGTTCAGAGGGGGTTTGCCCATGCCTTGTTACTTGCCCAAGGGTTTCCATGTTGGAGCTGGGATCTGAACTCAGAGCTGTGGTCCAATGCTCAAAACACCACACCCATATTTCTCCAGCCAGAGGAATCACTGACCATCACTGTTAGTATGCTGAGGAAATCGTGTCCAAAAAGTGGCTTTCACAACATTTGTGAGTCATTAGGACTAGGAGCTTCATCACATGCTTACCCTTTCATTCTTCTGAATGAAGAATGGTATTATATAACTTTCACCTTTGGTTAAGGACCACACATCCTTGAATTCTTGCCTCTACAAAATCTCTCATAAGTCTCTGCAGTAAGACAACACATTAAGAAAAAGTGTCTAGTTTTCCTTCTTTCTCTCATGATGCTTAGGGAAAGAAATGTTTCGTGATGCCAGCCTTCCACTGATAGCCTGATGTAACAAACCAGACTAAAATGCCAAAGATCTACATTTCAACACTTAAATTCCCAGAATTGCCAGGAAGCATGGCCACTGGAAACATTGGAGGGGAGGATTGTGGGAGCTGCATTCCAAAATGTAACTTTTCCAAACTCTGGGTCATACCAATGGCGCATCAGAAAAAAGGGGGGAGCAGTTTTCCTCCCCTCCTCCATTTTCCTGGTGTGTCATTGGTACTACCCAAGAGGTCTCTGGAGAAGGGGAAATGGCGACCAGGTGAGTTATTTTCCTTTTTAAAAATCTTTTTAGAAGGGGTTTTGGGAGGGGGTGGGGGCTGTCTTGGTTTTTTTGGGGTCCAAGAGCCTAGAAAATTTGAGATAGCCTTGTGTTTTGGGATTGGAAGAGTTTTTCTGCTTTGTGCCAAATGCAGTTGCATTTACCAGGTAAATATCCAGGTGGCTGCACATTTTAGGATGACTTATACTCATGTTTAGGGCCTGTGTCTGTCTAAACCTTACTGGATCACAATTTCCAAGTCGCAAAGAGTCAAGGTGGCTCATCCCTGTGATTCAATGAAACATACACAAAAGGCCTATGACTCCATTCTAAACTGAAACAAAGTCTGGATTACCTTTCACCTCTCCATTTAACTCATTACATCCCTATTATTTTCATCCCATCATAGGGTCCCCAGTCAAGAAACAGAAACAGAAGAGGTAATATAGGAACAGTGGATAATAACTTTAGCTATTCTTCATTATGCTCATTCTTCACCAAGGCAAAGAGTTATTGTATATTTGTGTCAGTCTAGTAATTAATGGTTAGTCTTACCATACAAAGCTTTTGCGCTTGTCTTCGAATTCTGGTCCCTGTCTCCTTGAGAAAATGTTGGTGACCCGTATCCACTGCAAGACAAGAGTATTGGTTATGAGCATATTTTATTTGGAAAGGGCAGTTAACATGTAAGGATAAGTTATATTAAACAGAGGATTCGAGAACTTAAAAAATGTATTTCACGTTTCTAGTCCACATAGTAACTGATATGCTTGAAAGCATACAAGAATATTAAGTGAAAATTGAAATAATCAAATTTCCAAGAGATTGTGACTGCATGACTTGTCCAGGTCTTCTAATCCTAGACTGACAAGGATCAAACCTATAATCTATTTATGTCCTGTCATTGAATGTTTGCCGTTTGTATGTTGCGCTCCACCCTGAGTCCCCTTTGGGATGAGAAGGGTGGAATATAAATGTTTTAAATAAATAAACAAATTAACCTGCAAAACAGTTGTAATAATAATAATAATAATAATAATAATAATAATAGTGATATGATGTGAGGATTTAAAGATCAAACTACAAAGACTCTGGCACAAGCCAGTAAAAGTGGTTCCAGTGGTGATCTGCACACTGGGTGCAGTGCTTAAAGACCTTGGTCTGCACTTAAACACAATCAGCGCTGACAAAATTACCATCTGTCAGCTACAAAAGGCCACCCTACTGCGATCTGCACTCATTATTCACCAATACATCACATAGTCCTAGACACTTGGGGAGTGTCCGACATGTGATCCAATACAACAGCCAGCATAGCGATCTTGTTTGCTGTGTACTAATCTTGTTGTGTTTCAAATAATGATAATAATAATAGTTTATTTATAGCCCACCCTATCTCCCCAAGAGCTCTCAGTACAACACACTTTCAGATCCATGTCCACAAAAATAGTTTTCAAGTGACTCAGTGACAAGCATAATGAAGAAAACAATTAAAGAAATAGCCTTGACCTACAGTCCTTCCTAACATGATCCTGTTCTAGCTAGAAGTCACCAGCCATTTAAGAAATGTTCTCTAGCTTCACAAAAGCCATTGAAGCAAAAGTCTATCAACTAGCATTAGACATATTTTAGGCATGCTATCTAAGCATTTCATCAATGCTTAATAAAGCATGTCAACTAGCTTTAGAAATGGTGTATATATGAACGTCACCACATTATACAGAGGAGACGGCACTTTACCACAGTTGTAAAAAGCTTTTGGAGCTCAAATTCCCGGCATGGATTTATGAACCGGACTGCAAGCACTGGAAATTCTGGTTAATATGGCTAATGATAGTGTTGGCTTAGGGATACTGGGAACTGTAATTCAAAAGTAATTTGTCCAAGCTCTGGGCTGGACACATTACATATTAGATTTCAGGACTATCTGTTCCTACAAAAACATGCTGACTGTTAAGTCATCTTCAGAGACCCCTTTCTGAATGACCCCCAGTTCAGAGGTAGATGAGCAAAACTTGGAATTGATCATTAAAACAAATTATTTGTGTGTTGATATGTTGAAATGTCCAGCAATGATGTTAAAATTCATTATTTTGGCCACTAAGTACCAACAAATAAAATCCCACCCTGGGAGAAAGGATAGGTATAAATCCTACCTACCGACAAATCAATGAATGAATGAATGAATGAATGAATCAATCAATCAATCAATCAATCAATCAATGTTCACCATTTGTAGTAATTCCTTAATTCTTCATTGTAACAATTCAAAGATTAAAACAACTATTTAAATGTATACATTATTCTTAGCATCTTAAAGGTAGGCTATTTTATTTAATGCACTAATTCTAAAACTTAGGGTCCCAAAGCTCTGAAGACCAGTTTTTGTCTATGGAGGCATACTAGTTGTGGGGTTCCTTCACTGGATGACTACTTTCTCAAAGTATTCCTATATTGGCCTTTACCTGGAACCTTTCTGAATCAAATACAGGTGATAAGATGATATTCACATCATCAAAATGTTTACAAGGATTGATAAGAAATTCAGTGTGTTCACGGGGGAGGTGATTGCATCAGCTATATATGAAGTGACAGAAAATGCCCACGATCTAAAGAATTGCTTCAAGCAGAATGTTGTGACTCTGTTCCTTTGAATTTTAGGCCCTCATGCTCCTCAGAAACAATTCCACTTAACACTGGAAGTAATGTGTACTGTAGTGTAGGAAGGAATTGTCTGAGGAACTCAAACAACAGAAAATACATAGTTGGTATTTTCTTCTTTGAGGCAGAATAGAAACAAGGTTTATAGTATAATATTGGTTTTGCATGAATGTGTCAGTGGAGACCTTGCTATGTGAATATTTCCCGAGGGGGAAACACAAAATACTGGGATTACAGAATCTTATTGTGTGTTGTTTTATGGAACTTAGGAAATTTATCTCTGGATAAGTATTGTCAAAGGCTTTCATGGCGGGAACCACTGGGTTGTTGTAGGTATTTTGGGCTATATGGCCATGTTCCAGAAGCATTCTCTCCTGACATTTCACCTGCATCTATGGCAGGCATCCTCAGAGGTTATGAGGTCTGTTGGAAACTAGGAAAATTGGGTTTATATATCTGTGGGATGTCCAGGGTGGGAGAAAGAACTCTTGTCTGTTGGAGGTAGGTGTGAATGTTTCAATTGGCCACCTTGATTAGCATTTAATGGCTTAGCAGTTTCAAGATATGGCTTGTTAGTGCCTGGAATCCTTTGTTGAGAGGTGATTAGCTGTCCCTGATTGTTTCTTGTCTGGAGTTCCCCTGTGTTTGAGTGTTGTTCTTTATTTGCTGTTATAATTTTAGAGTTTTTTTTAAATACTGGTAGTCAGATTTTGTTCATTTCATGGTTTCTTCCTTTCTGTTGAAATTGCTTCTCTGTGTAGCCTGTCATGGTAGCTGTTAGAGTGGTCCAACATTTCGGTGTTCTCAAATGATATGCTATGTCCAGGTTGGTTCATCAGATGCTCTGCTGTGGCTGACTTTTCTGGTTGAAGTAGTCTGCAGTGCCTTTCATGTTCCTTGATTCGTGTTTGGGCAATGCTGCTGCGTTTGGTGGTCCCTATGTAGACTTGTCCACAGCTGCCTGGTATATGGTAGACTCCTGCAGAAGTGAGAGGATTCCTCTTGTCCTTTGATGAACAAAGCATTTGTTGGATTTTCTTAATGGTCTGTAGATAGTTTGTAGGTTGTGCTTCCTCATCAGTTTGCCTATGCGGTCTCTGGATATTTCCTGATAAATGCTTAGCAACAGTTTTTCAAATTTGGAAAGACATCAGTGGGTTCCATTTCCCCAATTGAATATGTCTCATGTTCATGCAAATCTAAACATATTCATGAGTAACTACATACACTTTATTTGCATATATGAGATTCAAGGCAGCTTAGATATATATTTTTCAAGCTGTTTATTTAGCAATTTAAACACATTTGAGATAACACACATTTGAGATAACACACATTTATTGCTACACTAAAAGGGTGATTGCACCACCCTGTGAATCACTCGGGGAAAATTATTTCTTTTTCCTGCATATTCATTAGCATGCACAATTCATTCCAACAAAACTAAGGAAGGGGTTCACATGTTTAAGTGTGTACACATGCACAGTCTCATGGGGATGCTCTTAGAAACAAAAATAGCCTCAAATTACTCAGTCTTAAAATAACCTTAGACATGGCCTCACTGTAGGTACTCTTTTTTAAAACCAATTATTTCTCAGCTTTTTTTAAAAAATGTATAAATTATGCACGGCTGTGGCTTGAACAAACATTAGAACTATTAAAAGTCTATTTAGATGACTGGAAAGTATAAGCGCTCCTCTACTAAATGAGGGGGGCTGGGTGGAAATCCCATTAGTAATTTTCCAAGGGAAGGAGGTTGCCTCCGGCATTTGACGGTGCACAACCTATCAGCTGCTACTCATTCAATTGTACATAAACCAACAGGACAGCAGTTTCCCCAGGGAAAAGGATATTTTCTGACCTTAATTGAGATCAGATAAATGTATCACTCAATTTTCTCCCAAGTGTGACCTTCAATGGGGTTAAGCTGGGGCCGAAGTCAGCTTTACCTGATCCAGACCTGAATGTACAGCTAGAAAACTCTTAGTGGCAGAAGAAAAAAGGCTGCAAGCAAAGTAAGGTTCGAGAGACATAGACTGCTCAGAAAAGCAGGTGCTGTTCACTTTGCTCTCTGTGTTCAACCCAAGGAAAAAGTGCAACCGTCAATGTAATATCTAAAGAGGGGGCATTTCTCAGTACATAATTGTATTACTATTATTCTATATACTCGAATAAGTCTAGAAATCTTTGTCAAATCTGAATAAGGATGACTTATCCACCCGTACAGTATCCTTCCTCTTATCAAGGAAGAAACCACTTCTGAGTACAGAGGTGAAAAGTGAGAGTTTAGTCTGTCCTGGGAGAACCTAAATGGAACACCAGCTCCCTCTACGATCTCCACCATGGCACCACATCTGACCTTTTTTTGAATGCCTAGCCAGGAAAATGGAACTAGCCAGGTTGTCTTGCCCCTGAGGTAAGTTATATAAATTATATATAAATGTCGCAAATAAATAAATACATAAATAAATAAATTTGGCACTTCCCCCTCTCTGTGGAATGACCACTCACAGGTCATATCAAAATCCATAATTTTGGTCCCAAACCTGCCTTTGACATAATTTGTTGTCATGTGACTTCAAGTTATATCTGACTTAAGTAAAGGTAAAGGTTTCTCCTGACATTAAGTCTAATAGTGTCTGACTCTGAGGGGTGGGTTTTTTTTTGTTGTGCCAGGAGCGACTTGAGAAACTGCAAGTCGCTTCTGGTGTGAGAGAATTGGCCGTCTGCAAGGACGTTGCCCAGGGGACGCCCGGATGATTTGATGTTTTTATCATCCTTGTCGGAGGCTTCTCTCATGTCCCCGCATGAAGAGCTGGAGCTGATAGAAGGAGCTCATCTGCCTCTCCCCGGATTCGAACCTGTGACCTGTTGGTCTTCAGTCCTGCCAGCACAGGGGTTTAACCCACTGCGCCACCGGGGGCTCCTGAAGGGTGGTGCTCATCTCCATTTCAAAGCCAAAGACTTGGCATTGTCCATAGACACCTCCAAGGTCATGTGGCCAGCATGACTGCATGGCGCACCCTGTTACCTTCCTGCCAAGGCAATACCTATTGATTTACTCACATTTTGCTTGTTTTTGAACTGCTAGGTGGGCAGAAGCTGGATCTAACAGTGGGAGCTCACCCTGTTCTCTGGATTCAAGCTGCCAACCTTTTGGTCAGCAAGTTCAGCAGCTCAGCAGTTTAACCCACTGCACCCCTAGGAGGCCCATATCTGACTTACAGCAACGCAATAGAGACTCTATCACAGGGTCATCTTGGCATGATTTGTTCTAAAACAGTTTGCCTTTGCCTTTCCTCTGTGGCTGAATGAGTATGATCGCAGCCAAGATCACACATTGGTTTCCATGGCTGAGTAGAGATTCAAACCCTGGTCTCTGGAGTCATAGTCCAAAGCTCACACCATTTAACTGCACTGGCTAGTGTGGACTGGTGTGTCTATCAACCATAATTTTGACTGACACATGAGCATATAAACCTTGACAGAGGTAGGTTATGGGCACACATGGCTGGCGATGCTCTGACTCTTCCTGAATATGGAGGTGCCTGGAATAGCATTCTCTTTGACTGCCATTCTAGATTTTCAAGGTAGACTTGTGAAGAAGGGCCCTGTCACTTATCCAGATTTGAAATTATAGGAAAGGATAGGGAGCCCATGAACTCAAGATCTACGTTCAAGAAGTTTCAGAACATTAGCACAAAGTGTTACATCTGAGGGTGATTTCAGGCACTCCAAGACCAAGTCTGGTCTCAGGGATGACTGGTGGTACAATGCCAGACAAATTAATGCTTGGCAACACATTTTCTACCCATCATCTGAACTATCCTCTCCCCACCCCCTACCTCATTTTGAAAATGAAAATAGAAAAAACTGTCTGGGAAAGATTGAAATGGGTCTTACACTCAAGATGTCAAAGGCATCTGGATCAAAAATACAATGATGAGAGTAAAAATGTGAGGGTAAGGATTTTTGTACATTTTCCCCTACAGATTTGGAAGGTGAGCATAAAATACTTACTTTACTTGGGAAGAGTAGTTTCCGTATGCACTGGGATGTGGGTTTGAAATATGCCCATTCATTCTGATCTCAACTCCCTCTGTGGGAAAAGGAGAGAAAGAGAAAGAAAAAGTCATTTAAAACATCCAGCACAATCATTTTGGCCAACACTTCTAAAAGGCTGCATAATAGCCTGATTGTGAGTGACTCAGGATTCAAAAACTGGAGCTTGATAAAGCAACATTTTGAAAAGAAAGAATTTTACTGTAGACACAAAAGTAATGGATGTACAGGCAGTCTCCAATTACAAACAAGATTGGTTCTATGGGTTTGTGCTTCAGTTGTCTGRACATTGGAACAGGTATATTTTTAAGTGTAACTCTGTCAAAATCACACACACACACACACACACATCTGCACTTTGAATGGCATAGGAAAGGGTCAACACTCCTGTGGCATTTGTTTTATTGTCTGTATCCCTGTTCAGAAAATTTTGCCTCCCTTTCTGTCCCCCCCCCCCCCACCACCTTTTTTTGGTCATGTCAGGAGCGACTTGAGAAACTGCAATTTGCTTCTGGTGTGAGATAATTGGCTGTCTGCAAGGACATTGCCCAGGGGATGCCTGGATGTTTGATGTTTTTACCATCCTTGTGGGCAGCTTCTCTCATGTCCCCGCATGAGGAGCTGGAGCTGATAGAGGGAGCTCATCCACACTCTCCCTGGATTCAAACCTGCGACCTGCCAGTCTTCAGTCCTGCCGACACAGGGGTTTAACCCYCGGTGCTACCGGGGGCTCCTATGGTAAATGGATTTCTGTCTCTGTGATAAATGGATTTTGAAAAAATTGTCTTGTTGTCAAAGCAAGGATTATTGATAAAGCTTCAGTTGAGACACCTTTTCCCCATGATAACTCTCCCAGGAGCTCATTTTCCTTCTGAGATATAGATTTCCCTCACTTTCTGTTGTCTCACCCCAATTCTTAACTATGAGTTGTTTATAAATCAGATGTTTGTAAAAGAGGGACTGCCTGTATTTTATAAAAACAGTAAAGGAAAGGGAAACCAGCAGCTCTAAAAATCCAGATACTGTTTTGTTTGCAGCTCTCCTTTCCATAAGACTTACACAGGGTTGACTCAGGACATTTTGCTGCCTGAAGAAAATGACAATAAGAGCTTAAACAGCCTATGAGAGGGGCATAAATGGACCCTCATTGCAAATTATACCTTCCCTGAAGTGATGGAAAAGGCACCATAATTTCCTGGCCCACAGTGATCCTGCATTAACCCCATTAATGGTATACATTGCTACATTTATTTCATAAATAGCTATAGATTGCTATGAGTTAAATGTTCCAGTTCCTTGTTTACTCAACAAAGCCTTGTTTTGCATGCTCAAGAGCAATCTCTTTCCTGTATTATCCCTGAACTCATGTGACAGAGCCTGGCTAGGACATTATGCCACTTGGGGCAAAGGAAAGGGCAAGCTAGGACCCTTCTCATTCTACATACAGGAATGGATAGGGCTGCCACTGGAATCTTACTTTGGCCAAGAATCTGTGATATTCCCATGTTGATGGGATAGTAATTCAATCCCAGGTTTTAGTTTGAATGTGCCACCTTGCTATTGATATGGTTCTTTTGGTGATTTGGTTCACCACCTTGACATGGAAATCAGCATCCATCATTGACTTCAACACTGGGGGTGAAATCCATCCTCCATTGCACCTAAGGGCAACAAGGAAAGTGTATACAGATAACATCTGATAGAGCATCCAGTTCCATTCCTCTTTAGGGATTGCCACCATTACCTGATTCACAAATACCGTACTTGGATCTGACACCTAAGATTTAGAATAGATGCTAAAATAGCTGCAGCTCTCTGCTTGCCTTAGTATTGACAACAAAATACAAGCCCTTCATGCTTTCTCTTACTTTTCAAGGGAAGAATAGAGTTGTACGCAAGGGCAGCCAGGGACCACCAAGTCCCCAGTTCATGTATAAAATTAACAAGAGCTTTGGCAGTGCATACTTGTTCTGCTATTGCAATTTTTTACGACCAGCCAACATGTTTTAGTGCCAAATGTTCTTTCCAGTGCATTTAATTAACACCTTTCTTCCAGGTCTTTTGTTTCTTTAAGTTACTGAGCTGTTCTTAATTTGCTATCATAGTTTTGCAGGGGCAATTCAAGTCAAAGGTTTTTTTTCCTCTGCTTAACATCTTCACACCTTATACCCCAGAACAATAACAAACAATCACTTTTTTAAAGTGCAAAGGACACTAACAGTTTCTTTCTGAGTATAATACATTAATGTAATGTTTTTAGTCCTACATGTGCATGTCTTCAAATCAAATGTCAACTCATGATGATCCAATGGAGTTTTTGTAAGGTCCAATGGGTTTTCGTAAAGACTCCCCACAGATGTCTTGCCAGTTCTTTCCTCTGAAACATAGCCTACAGCACCTGATATTCATTGATGATAGTCTCACATCCAAGTATTCATAGAATCATAGAGTTGGAAGAGACCTCATGGGCCATCCAGTCCAACCCCCTGCCAAGAAGCAGAAAAATCTCATTCAAATCACCCCCAACAGATGGCCATCGAGCCTCCGAGCCTCCACCATATGCCAGGGCAGAGAGTTCCACTGCTGGACAGCTCTCACAGTTAGGAAGTTCTTCCTAATGTGCAAGTGAAAACTCCTTTCCTGTAGTTTGAAGCCTCTACAATCAAGAGGTGACTCTGCTTAGCTTCAAAGTCCAGAGGGATTTGATACCTTTTCAGTATTTAGCCCCCAACTTTGCTTCTGAATCTCAGCAATGTGATTCTGAAGGGTCTGGGACCCACAAAATTCATTTTAAGTTGATGTGTTCTTCACTCAATTCCTACTTAGGGTTGGAGAAAACATAAAGCCACGTAAAACCAATTTTGTGGTCCCAAGGCACTTTCAAATCATACTCCAATGTTCAGAAGAAAACTGGAATTTCCACTTTAAAACATGCATGTGTAGTTTGATGCTGAAATTTGGTAGCAGACCACATAACTTCCCTACTTGTTTCAAAGATGTTCTGGTTTGCTATTGGATTTTGGCAGTGCCATGCCCTGATGGTAATGAGGCCGCTGCCTATGGTAGTTTTAAGAGTTCATCTTGTATTTTGGGCTGAGCATTGCCCAAGGGTATACGTTTAAATTTTGCATTTTGAAAGCTTTTATTAACATTACCAAAGCCGGGCCACTAAAAACATACTCAATAGTTTTATGCATGATTGTGCCTGAAGTGTTACTGAATGTATTTGAGGTTCATTTCGGAGACTGGACTAAGAAATACCACTGCTATCATTTTCAATGGAGGAATTTCACTGAATTTGCATGTAGCATACAGAAAACGAAATGGATGAAAAATGACCAATGTGTCCAGGGCCACAACATTATAAACAGAGCTAAAATTGAGGAAGTGACTGAATATGGATATCTTGGACAACAAAAACAGTTGAATAATTTGACAAACGGTGAATGGGCAAGAAGACGCAAGGCTGCTTGGATGGTTTTAATCAAAACTGGACAGTGCTAGCAGATGATAAGTTGCTAATGAAAGTCAGAGCAGATAGCTTCAACACTTCAGTTCTACAGGCAATGTTATACGTATCTGAAACATGGGCAACAACAAAGTTAGAGGAGGAAAAACTGGCGGTGACTGAGAGAGCAATGGAAAGAATTATGTGTGGTGTGACAAGAAAAGATAAAGTCAGCAATAAAGAGCTGCGTCAAAGAACTGGGGTACGTGACGTGGTCAATAAAATCTATGAGGTAAAAAGAAGATGGGCAGGGCATACAGCATGAACAAAAGACAACTGATGGACATGTCAACTAATAAAAATGGATACCAAGATACCACATGCGGCCCTTGGGCGAATCTCGTATTTGATGGGCCAAACCAATGGAAAAGCTATTCACCTATGAAATGGTGAACAGGGGGAACACAGGATCATCTAATTTTGCAAATGTTAGATATGTGTGAAGCCCAAAGGAGTGGATTTATGACAAATTGGATAGGATACAGCTAAAATGCGTAATTCTGTTATGCAATTCAGTATTCACCTTACATGAACAACAATGTTTGGATATGCTGTGCATGTATAGACATACTTCTGATGATAGTTTATATCATTAAAAACAACACTAAACATTACTAAGCATTTGATAGCACAGTGGCAATAAAGTAAGAGATATTTCTTATTTTATAAATATAGCATTGGGAAATATGCATCTTGAATAAAAGTTGCCATGTGTTTCTGCTCAGAACAAGACACAACTTCTTTTAATGTGGAAATAGCCCGTATTTTGCTGGTGAATCTGGTGGCACTAGTGAGAGGGCTATGTAGGTTATGAATGAAATGGGCAGGGGCTCCTTGCTAGAGCTATAAGAGAACATGAAAAGTGAACAAGAGTGACACGTAAGGGAGTTGTTCATTTATGCAGCTCTATTACTCTGGGCATTTAATGAGAACCAGCTTAATTTAAGCTTTCTGAGATGTTCTTTTTGAAAAAGGAATGGAAGATGGTAAGCCTTTTTCTTATGTAACCCTTTTAAAGGGGGCAGAGATGGTGCTGTATAAATAATGCAGAGGGTGACATAAGAAGATTTTAAATCTTTCCTATGAATTGGGAGTTAGAAGTTCTGTGTGAACATATCTTTCTCCATTTCTCTCTAACAGAACCTGTTACAACGCAAATACTGAATCACAGAACTGGAAGAGATCATAAGGGTCATCTAGTCCAATCCCATTTTGCCAGGCAGGAATACTCAAGCAAAGTACTTCTGACAGATGGACGTCCAGCCTTTTCTTTAAAAACCCCAGAGATGGAGACACTGCCACACTCCCAAGAAGCACTGAATAAGATCTTTAAAAAGATAGCCCCAAAGTTATCATAGGGTCCTTTTAGGAATTTGCATAGTGCCAGGCAGAACACTGGGGGAGATGTCCCATTCAAGCAAGGAAAGAAGGCAGCATTTATTTAAACTGTCAACAAGACCATTAATAACATAATTCATGGCTCTAATTGGAACTTCATTCACCAAATCCAATCAAGTTTTGGGGAACAT